ATTCTACGGAATATCATTGAGACGCTTATTAACAGATATCACTCGACTGATATATAGTTTCACGTCTCTAAACTTAGCGTTTATTAAGATACATTTCTGTTTTTCTTTAATAATTAAATCTATTGGTATACGTAATCAAATATTTATGCAATAATTGTACAATATTTTCATCTTAATAATATTTTAATAAAGTTATTGAAAAAGTATTAATATATATGTACATATATTTCTTCTCATTTTTATTATATTCCCTTTACATTATTTCGACTTCTCTACCTTTTATAACATAATCTTCATTTCTTTAGATTTGTCAAGTTTAGAATTAATGATATAAGACTGTATGAATATTCATTGAAGAATAGTATTCTTTTCCTCTTGTGATAAAGCTCGTATTTCCAATTATTGCGTATTTATCTGTTTTCTGCGAATATTCAGAGCGATAAGTGTTAATTAGCGTCACAAAAACCTCGTATCCAGTTTCGGTCAATTCCATCAAAAGCACTTAATCCGATTGCCAGAGCGTCATGTTGAAGATCGTGTTACTCGTTAAAACCGGCTCTCGACTTGCTTCTCATCGCGAAACATCAACAGCGCGGGAAGAATTTCGCTTTTCGCCTTATTAGAGATAATAAAGCGTCTCCTTGCATGGACGATCTTTTACGAAACGTAACGCGTGTCTTTCATGCTCGATCCAATTTCTTACGAGTTTCAGGAGAAAAGGTCGACATTTGAGAATAAAAGGATTGGTGGTATTTGCCAATATGCAAAATTCAAAATTCTGACGACTTTAACGAGCTCGCGATCTTATATTGAAACAGGAACATTTCGATGGAACGATATTTCGCGATTCATTGATTGTTCGAATTCACGATGTGAAACAGCGAGGTCAGTATATATTGTAATGAACAGTAATGGAGAGTAGAATTTAACAAGCATATTAAAAACACATCATTAAACCATTTTTCTTTCAATAAAACGTCATCTTTCTTTCAATAAAAAAACATATTAATTTTAATATTTCAACTAAAAATAATCTCAATTTCAGATCTATTTAACATAGCCCGTAATGAACCAAAGGTAAAATATTTATATTACTAAAAATTCTAAATATCAAATTTTTTTAAACGTTACAAATTAAACTAGTATGTCATTCAACTGTAAATAAATATTTTATTCCTGCGTAATAGTAGTAATAATAGTAATAGTAGTAATAATAGTAATAGTAGTATTAATAGTAGTAGTAGTAGTAGTACTAGTAGTAATACCGGGATGGGTAGAACTTTATCAGTCCCTATATGTCTGAACCTAGTCAAAGAGTCACTTAGATCTAAAGAGTTTCCGCTAAGTTAGTATGGATTACGAAATTTTTTCGTATATATGCAGGATTTGAAACTCGCGATCTGTCACGTGATGTTACGAGTCTATCACATGAACCTATACGAATCTATCTCTTATTCCTGCGGTTCCTACGTAAATTACAGAAAAATAAAATAAGAACTAATAATAATTATTTTCTAATTCAACAAATTATTTTGTATAAAATCTAAATTGTATAAAAAATAATTAATTAAACTAGAAAATTTACTTATAATTAGTTAAATTTATTTTTATAGTGTAACTAATTATTTTTTGAAATTTATATCAGTGAAGAAATAATTAGTTAAACTAGAAAATAATTAGTCCTTATTTTATCTTTCTGACTTATGCAGGAATAAAACATTTATTTACAGTTTGAACAATATATTAATTGAAGATCATTAGCGTTTGTTTCTCAATATGTGCTATGGAATGTTAGATGTTTGAGACCTTCATTCTCTTACATCTCTATCACTTTGATTCTTTCAGTTGTCGTCCCGATTTCTCACCGTTCTTTCCATCAAATTTTGATTTCGTAATTTATATTCAAGTATTCCCGAAATCTTTCTCTCGTCGCCTCTTGCCACGATTTAGCAACACGAATGTCTTCTACGATAGATTGTCAATGGTCACAGTCATTCTGCTAGTCGTTTCATCCTGACTCTCAATCTACTAATCAATACTCCGAGTAATCCTTCTTGGAGAATTATTAACTCTTCACACACTATAGACATCTGCTTCTTGTTTCAGAAATTACGTAAGTGGTTTATGAATGCCGATGTAAATTCGTGAGTGACATTTTACGTGATAAAAGATCCTACATAAATATTCAATAGTGATATTCAACCGCGACAAATAATTCACGTCATTTCTCAAAATCGTTAATGTAAAATATGACATCATTTCTCTCAATTAAAATCTTTGACATATTTTAAAATAAACGGATTTTTAAAAATTGACAAGTTGTTACAAAGCCAATTTATTTAAAACAAAAAAGGCTGAATTATCGAGCTGAATCGCACGGAAATTTGTCATGTTATCTAGCTTGAGCGTTGATCAAGTTTTTCATTGGATTATATATATGAACCGGGCCGGAGATAATTCGTTCGGATTAAAAATAAGAGCGTTACCTCAATTCTGTGCAAATTGGACCGAACATCCCATCGGTCCATCTAAGCTTTGAACATTTGCCAGTGCCAGCTGTTTGATCCATACCTTTATCTATTTAGTTAACGTATTTACCTACCTGAATCAAAATGAGAATTTTCATCGCCCTCGTAATATCGATTTTCATGACTGATTCACGAGAGAGAAGAAAGCCTTCTTTTCCCTCCAATACCAAGGATTGGTCTTGGAAGTTGAGTCATGAAACATTTAAAATATGTAAATACATAGTATATATCCTGATAAATGCGGTTTAGGATATTTGCCCTAATCAATATCACTATTTTTCAGAGTCCTATTTTACACCGCTAATAAGAAATTTTGATAAATTAAACTTCCCGATTGTAGCATAAAATAATGTAATAATAAGCAATGTGCAAACATATTTGCTCACTACCCTTTTTGACCCCTAAATTGCTGCTGTGACAAATTTAATAACTCGCGAGACCGTTTCAACGCTGAAGGGCTAAGGAGGAGTGAAATCGTAAGAGCAAGAGGAAGGAAGGGACACGGATTGATCTTGACCTCTCTCACTTGGATCGTGATTTGATGTCTCGAGGGGACGTGCTAAATCGCGCGCGAGGATACCTTAAGAACTACTTTTGGCCAGAAACGTGCCCCGTTGCGACGAATATCTACCGGGATGTAAATGTTCGAGACGGTGGAGCTTGGCGGTAATGTAAATAGGGAGGTGTGTCGCTCGAGTCGAGAATAACTGAGACTTAATTAATGCGCTGATAGTGCGAAACCATGCTCGGTGTCTTCCCTGCCAGACGGTGCCCTTTCCATACGAAAGAAAGGGATGCCGCGACAATTTTGGCGTACCGTTGGAAATAGTCCTTAATGTATAAAGAGGCAAGAGATGTTCACGTATGGTATTAATTTACAGACATTCATGCAAAATTAGAATCTCGTAATAGAAAGTAAGCTAGAAATTAATAATTTCTGATTCCATATTTGTAAAACATTGAATAACTTCTCTAACATAAATAATTGTTCATTTTTTTGTAAATTAAATTTTTTTTTAAATTAATTCCAATGTTCAAAGTAACAGTTAAAGCTTTTTCTTTTGATAGTATCGAAAAATTTGACTCGTTATTGCGTGCATATTTTTATTATGACAGCTAAAAAAAAGAGAGCGCATCGATAATAACGATTGAAATTTATAAATATTATCAAAATTGTTCTACCGATGGACTACAAAAGCATCGCGAATCAAGTTTAATTTGCGAAACAATTTTTTCTGTTGCAGTACATACAAGTTCTGTTATATATAAAATAAACACCGACATGTTTTTAATTAAATAACGTATGACGAACGTACAAACGTATTATTTTTTTATACGTTTTCCTCGTGCAAACTTATTTATTTCGCTTTCCTATGCGAAATATAGAATTCTTAAATAGATAATATAGCACTATATATTTTTATCTACTTGATAAGTTTCCGTACACACAGTGCACCATTGTATGTGTATCATGATACACGCTAACGTGTAATTTTCGAAGGTTATCACATGCATATTAAATAGCACCTCTGATCAGTAGCGCGCATTGCGTACTTCTCTAGATTATCAATAATGCACAATAGCACTCTAATAATGTAGCAGACGTCGAAGCGCGATCGATTTCCACAATAACTTGGAAATGCAAAATTTTTCAATATCATTTTTATTTCTCTCGAATTCTGTATACAGTGCTGAAAATTTCCAGCCATCGTAATTTTTTCATTTACGTACATTTGTACGATATGCCATCGAGCTAGAAAATGGAGACACTGAGCATGGTTTTTAGTCGAGAGATATCATCGAGCAATGTCTCCGTAGCAACGATATTTCACGATAATAAAACTATCGCGTAGAGTACCGTTAATCAAGCGATAAAAAGTGATGGGATCCATTACGAGATCCCTCGTTTCCTAACATCAATGATAGATCAACCCTCTCGGGTCTTGCGTCAATTGAGATCTAAAACGATCAGGCTTAAAACGGAAAGTTTGATAGGTCGAACGGGTTGACATTAACCAACGTTAACCAGCCATCAATCATTTGCCTCCGTCAATTTTACTCATGCATCGTGCATGCGGAGACCGTGCCCGGTCAAAGCGCCGCGGTGACATCAATTAACTCTCAGTTACCCGGATCGTGGCGCGTAATGCAAGACGCATCTTCATCGTTGTCGCGTTATCTCGCAGACGAGCGAGACGCTCCTAGATCTAGAGGTGGGCAAATTAATTCGCGAATTCGAGTCGAAACTTTTTTAAATAAACGAGAAAATGAATTTTCAAATTTATAGATATTACCAAAAAATAAACATGACAAATGTGTATCAAAAAGACCTTCTAATAAAAAATAAGATTCTTTTTAATACACTTTGTTATATAATGTTTATTTTTTAGTATACCCGTAAATGGAAAATTGTTTATTTTTTAAATATAATTTTTTCTCCTTGATCTTTTAATGTAAATTCAAAAAAATTTGATTCGAATTCGATTCCTTTTCGAATCCAGAAGATTCGATTCGATTTGGTTTGACGTAAGAATTTCAAATACGATTCGATTCGTTTCCAAATATATTATCAAAGATTCGATTCGATTCAATTCGATCTTACAAATGGTTGATTCGCCCACCTCCTCTATCTAAATCGAGACCTGCTGCTCGTCGCAACGGTGCACGAAGCCGTGTTGCTGCTGCTGTAGTTGTTGCTGCTGCTGATGCTGCAGTTGCTGCTGTCATCCGCTGTTCTGTTCGGGTAGCAGTATGCTGACGGATTTGCGGTTCACTGTGGAGACAGCGTGATGGCCGTCGTTCGTTGCGGCCAGGGCAGACATTGGTTGTGGCCGATGGGACGGTGCGACCACGCGCACCTCCGGCCTAGGTGAAGCTTCTCTCAAAGGGCTACCAACGCCTACCAGTTCCTCGGGATTCGTCGCCAGCACTGCTGATGGTCTGCAACGACCACAAAAAAAACCATTCGCCTCATGAATGCGCGTATATTCGCTTCGGCCATGTTAACCCATCAATTTATACTGTCTAAAATTTGGAATAGAATCTAATTCTAAAGAGTGATAAAGAGTGACAATTAAGTTGAAAAAAATGACTCCATTGAGAGTCATTTTTTTAAGAGTGAGATTTCACTCTTTAGAATTAGATTCTACTCCAAAGACTTTAGAGAGTAAGATGTATTTCATACATTTTCAGGGTTGCCATAAATTGCTCATCCTAAAATCTATAACTTTTCCTGATTTAAAAACAAAATTTTATAATTTTCCTTGATGTTTTTAATAATATCTCGAATTTTTTTCTAGTTTCGTCCTAATTTGAAAACCGTCAAATATTTTGTTAAATGAACAATTTAATACAGCAATGTAAATTACTGTACTAAAAAAAAAGGATTGGCTGCTGCAACAATTTAGATGGTATCATATGGCATTTTTAATTGGCTGCGGCAGCCAATTTTTGGTTGCGTTAGCTTATCCGCAATATACGATTTCAATAAGTTAACGCAACCAAAAATTGGGTGATGCAGTCAATTAAAAGTGCTATGGTATATTTTACCATCTAAATTGTTGCAACAGCCAATCTTTTCTTTCAGTGTACTTTAATTGTTAAATTGGTAGTATTCCAAAATTATGTAGATGTAATATACACACATTAAACTTCTTCGAAGGTAAAAATTTTAATTTTCCAGAAAATTTTACAAAATTCTCTTTTCTTTGATTTCTCTATTTTCAATTCCCCTGACATTTTCCTGATTTCCACTTTTGTGGTAATTTTGATTTTTAAATTAGCTCAACCTGGGTAATTTCTAACCATTTCTTCCCTAACCATTTCTTTTGCGTATATTTGCTTTTAACATTTTTCAATTCATATAATATTATATGTATACATATAGTGTTATTGATTTAATTTATTCCTTTTATAATTGTAAATTCAGTCTTTTTAAAAGAAAAAACGATAATTGATGATTTTCTAAAACAGGCCTATCCAAAATTAACTCGCGAATTAAACATTTCCCTCTCTTTATCATCTCGTTGAGCGAGACAGAGAGAACAAAAAAAATAGACGCTGGAGTTTTACCCAGTGACTGACTGCTCATTTATTCTTTTTTTCTATTTATCTGTCTCGACAATGGAAAGATGTTTGGCTCGCGAGTTAAATTTTGGATAAGCTTATTCTGAAGCGGTCTTATAGATTGAGGATTAAAAGACAACGGTAAAAAATTCATGCATTTTAATGATTGAAGGTGTTACTTTAGTATTAATAAAAAAATAAACGAGACTACTAAAATTTTGTCAGAGAATTTGTCAATTTCGTATTTATTTATCGGATTATTATGTTAACTTAAATAAATAATTTCACGTTACCAATTTCAATTTACGCAGACATTACAGACCATTCTTTCATTTTCTGCGGAGGCGATTAATTTATTTCGCAAAGTGCTTCGCTATCTATTTGACGTGTCGGAATCAAGTAAGATAAACGAAATGTTCACGTACCTGTGCTGCGGGGGTGGCGTGGGTGTTCGCGATAGAGGGAAACTGGCGACTTCTCTCGTCACCGAAAGCGACCGGATCGAGCCGAATGTTTGGTCCGGCGATAAATTGGCCCCGACGCTTTGTACCATGCCGCTACTGAAACATGGACATCGGTTAATTGCCAATTAGGCTGTTCACGGAGAGCGCACGCAACAGTGCTCTTCTGTCTTAACCCTTAAGTTCTCTCCGAATGTTTCCAAATGTGACTCAACTCGACTTTGTTCTTACGTTTCGCGGAATACAAGTGAATCACTTATTCGAGAGGTTCTGACCAACAGTAGACTAACAAGGAAAGTTCAGCGACCCGTGAATTCAAATAGATTTGAAACTTCGCGCGGATATAGATTTTAGAGAACGAAGCGACCGACCCTTCAAAGAGATAAACCAATTCTCTTAAGTTTCTCCAATATCTTGGAAATCGTCTAAATTATTTGAAAATCAATCAGAAACGTTACAACACTTTTTTAACAAGTATAAAACCGCAGGATTTCAAACAGTCCTTGAAAAAAAATCAATTTGTGATTTCAGTCTCGTTCTGAGTGTCTAACTTGAAAAAGAACACTCGTATATGAAAATATTCTGAAAGATCTTAAAAAAAAAACTGACGCTGTCAAATGTAATAAAGATAAATAGAATGAGTAAGAAACAAACTCGCGATATTTGTAACAAGCGGTTTCAGTATGCTGTAATTTGCTCGAATACGTCAGCCCTCGATTAAATATGCCTAAGAGAGATGACACATCGATTCTTTTTCTAATAGTTCTTCAGAATTTTACACTTCGTTGCTCCGGGCAAGGTTCTACCGGATCGTTACGAAGACATGATTAATCTTACACGCAAGATAATAATCATTCTCGCATTCGTACACGTGCGCTTAAACGCGTTATTAAATCCAACTTCGATCACACCTCCAATGGTTGGGAAAAAGGTTATACATACTTCGATTTACGAGGAGAACTGACTCTTCTTTATGTTAAAACATGATTAACTTCCTATCATCGATATAAAAAGGATTCGAGATCTTTTATCGATGTGAGGAAATGTGGAAAATGCACGGGTTCTGTGCTCTTCGTATAAACGAGAGATTCCGGACAGACTGTGTGAAAAAAATCTGCAAAGGCTGACATATAAAAATTCGCGTATATATGAAGGCTTACAACAGATATATCGCTTTCATATAGGAATCATCTGTCACACTCTTTCTGACTCTCCCTCGTCGCGCTGTTAACATGTGTCAAAGTGACGAAAAGCCTTCTGAATTTAAGAGTGGAGCTGATCGATAACTTTGAAATGGTACGGACTATAGACGTACCCACGCATTCAACTTGCCTCTACACGCGAGGCATCTGTGCCCTTCGTTGACGTGAAAAGAACGCCTCGTTCTTGTCCCACGTTCCACTAAGAATCGCGACTATTTTAAGGATTAAAACGCTACCACGAGTTACATAGTATAAGTGACTTTTTCATGGAATTTCTCTAAACGTGACTAAAATACAAGATACACTGTTAGATATCAAAGGAACATTGGACATCCAATTCCTTGAGTTAAATAACATTTTATTATTTTTAACTTCTACGTATATATCAAAATGTAAGTCAATCTATTCCAAGTTTTCTATTTTAATGTAACGTTATGAATTTAACAATGTATGCGGAACTGTATATTATCCATTAAAAAATCATGTTGAAGGAGCAGAATATCCAAAAAAATATCCCACACACACAATTTTTTCAGGAAAAAAAATATATATTACATTGCTGACTAAATTCAAAGTTTGATTAATCTGTTCTTTATAATATTTTTGTTTTATAAAAATACTGCCTTTTTTCAATTTTCAACGTTAAATATTTCACACGTACATATTGTAAGATACTTCCTGGTCAAGATTCTTATGGAAAAATAAAGGATACATTTTTAAAAAAAAAAAAAAAAAAAAACTTACACTCCACCAACTGCGTTTGACTTTTAAAGCCCTTTACTTTATCTTTTTGTCATACTTTAAAGTAATAGAATCAAAATCATAATTGTATATTGTTTAAATATCGTTTAAATAAAAATCTATTTATAAAACAAAATAAATATATAGAACTAAATACAAAATATTACTTCTTATTGTATGTGTATTTTAATTGCAAAAAACTATAGCTTATTAAGTTTATTATTTAGTACAAAAATTATTGATATGTATAAATAATATTTTAACAGAACATTTTTTTAATCAATTTTCTAAATTAATTTACGCGAATTTTTTATAACAAATGCATAAAAAAAAGTATAGTATATAATACGTATAAAAATATTTACCAGCGTATAGTGCTGATTGACAAAACAAGTCTGCTGATCTCATTAATATAGATATGTATGTATAGCGTGTCTTGTTTTCGTGCCGCGGGAATTCGCGAAACGATTATCGGACGACAGAACAGGAAATAGTTGATCAAAGTGGATGATTATCGATATTGCAGCAGGGGCTCTGGATGCTTTAAGAGATGCTATGAATTATTCATTCAGACCCGACCGGGCATGTCGAAGTTATATCCGACAAACTTGCTATTCCGCTCGCATTCGCTGAGTTCGCAAACTTTTCGGTAAGATCGGTTTCCTCGCGAAAGGATATTGGTGAGACGAAGGTCTTCTAGAAAGACCTCCGTCGATAATGAAAAAGAGAGTTTTGTAAATAAAAAAGTTTAGTTGCTAGCAAATGCGAAGATTTACATTTTTACGAAAATTAAAATTCATTATTCATTTATCTACATGTGTAGATGTATCTAATACATTTTGAGACTGAAAGCATACAATTTTTTAAGAGGATATTTAAAACTTAATGAACAACAAGTTTTATGTATGTTGTTAATTCTGAGTAAAATAGCTTCATTTATGCTTAATGACTATGCGCTTAATGACGTCTTCTATATTGTAAAAAGAAAGAGCTCTTTCTTGGGGTTTTCTTGTTTTTATTTCATTTATATATAGTAATACATTCATTCTACTGTACACGAGTCAGCACCAACAAAAAATTATAGCGCGTTTATCTCGTTGCTTTGCATTATTTTTTAGGCTTAATCTTGAGCAGCGTAAAATATTATATCCGCGTAGGCCCTAAAATATTAAAAAAAAAAGATGAGAGAGAAAAAACTTCGTACATATTATTATGACAATACTTTGTACATGACTAGAATGCTTGAAATATTGCTTCATATTTTACTTTGTGTGTTCATATATATAAAAAATTTGCAAGTATAGAAACATAATATTAATCTTACAAAGTTTTCACAACAAAGTGATATTAAAAAGTTTCTGCTGAATCACTTTCACGATATACGAGTGGAATTACATTACAGCCGGAAATGACTATAATTGTTATAATGAGTACAGAGTCACAACTAAAAGTTAAAAACTTATTGATATCTAAAAGCAAAATTAATAAAAACAAATAAATAAATTTTTAATGGACCAATAAATTTTCTAGTTTATTGTTTCTAGCATTTATTATTGAAAGAAATAAATAGGGTATTATAACTTACACACGATATTATAACATATACGCAGACGCATACATATATATTATACATATATGTATAATGTATATATAACATGACATGAAATATAATGTCCGCAAATACATCTTCAGCTACTTCATTTTTCACAACACTAATTGTTATTACATTGTGACACGTAAAAAATGATTACATAAATAAAAAAGGAAGCTTTAATCATCATTCCTTCATCAATTATCGTGCGACATTACTCTAATATCAAATGCAGCTATATTGTTATTGTCATTCTTCTGATTCCAAAAAAAAAGCAATTAAATAAATATTACAGAAAAGCATTTCTTCACAAAAGATCCCGCACTAAATAATTATATGGAAAATTGGATCCCCGTGAAACGAGTTAGTTTTCATATATAATATAGCTTATAATTGAACAAACGATATAAATACAAAGTTCAATAATAATATTAGGTAGTATTTGAATTATGGTATATCAAACGCATAAAACTTGTGCTCATGGAGCATTTTTGATAATAATAACTTAAAAATTAATTATTATCAACTTTATGTCTGTGACATCTCTTGTTCACTACTTTATAAGTTAAATATATGTGAAAATTGATTTATTTCACCGAGACCCAATTTTCCATTAATTAATGAGGAATTTTTTAATAGTTTAAAAACAAGTTTAAGCAAATATACATTAAGTACTTATGTAATATAACTGTGAATTTATTAAATACATATTTATTGATAGACTGATTGTCAAGTGCAATATGCAATAAACAAAAAATATCTTACAAAAATGATTTTTTTTTTACCTAGTCACGAAAAAGTCATTTATTTCATCGGTGACGTATTTCTAGTTCTGACGAAAATAAAGGAATCAATATGACGACTGACGTATGTAGCAAGAAATTACAATAGATCAGCAATGAATTAAAACGTACGTTGATTATTGCCGGCTATGAACTTTCATGTGGCTTACATTACTGAGCTATGTTTGTCTCATAGCTGGATATAATGCTCGATAAAATATGCATTAAAACCTATTTTAAGTGAACATGGCCTTTAGTCGAATGGCAACCGGTGTCGCTGTTATGTCGAAAATGGAACTTTGCAATCTTCCGCGAATTTACATAATTACAGAGGATCTTTGGTATCGCTAATTATTTCCTCTAAAGTTTCTCTGGTAAAGAAACTTAATTCATATTTAGCTTCATTCGAGAAAACAACGTAGAAAAATAATTGGCCCCGAGTTCGATAAAAGTTTAACTTAAAATTGATTTACAAAGAAAAACACAGAGAAAATAATATGACAGAATCGACAAATACACAATGTTTGGTATCAAATTTCTAAAATTTGATACCAAACTTCAACAACATGTCCTATTTTTACACTCATTGTCAGTATTAGTGACATTTATAGTGATTTATATTGTCCGATATAACAATTTGAAATCCCTCGGTTTTGTCAAGCTTTGACGTTAATAAATCGAATCTCGGTATTACATATGTCATCGAAAGTAACACATAAAACGTTTAATGACGTATATTAGAGGATGAGTTATATTCACCTGACGGAGCCCGAAGTCACTAGGAAAGGCATGGGCGTCGGGCACGGGCTCAAAGGCGAGCTGCTCACGGAGCTGCGAGTGCTGCTCAAAACGGAGTGTGGACATTGCGGCGGGCCTACGTGCGGTCCTCCCGCACCGCTTCCGCCTTTGCTAGACGTGCGACCTTTCAGGCACGGGATCTTCGGCCATCCGCTTACATCCTTGCCAGATACCCCTAAAACAACGCATATCTCATTGGTTATTTTAGGAACACTAGCGACGAAAACAAACTGTACTGATGAAACATCAGCAGCAAATCGTTTAACTAATTAGTATCAATTTACATATATACTTCAAATTTTTGGAAAAATTCTAAGTTAACTTTTTATTAAATACTGAAAAAAAATGATGTTTCAACATTTTAATTAAAAATAATCTTATTGATTTATAACAACAGTATTAATGAAATAAATAAAATTTTATTAAAACGAGAGCATAAGTATTTGTGTTTCATTAATGATATTATTGAATTAAACAAAATTAATTAATTAAAACAATACATTATTTTTTTCAATGTAAGAATATAATTATCAAGTTCTTAATAATCCGAGACTGAGGATTTTTGAGTAGTACAAAGTTTTCATTGATATAGTTCATTTATCTTAAAAAAATAGTAAATAATACTTAATATTAAGTTTTTGTTAGGTGCGGCGTATGTACCGGAGTTACCCTACATAAATTTAAATAGATAGTTATAAAGAACGTAACAATTAACGTTATACAAAAACATTGATTGCAAACAATCTATTTATAAATTTTTATTTGGTGCTTTGGAACACATTGTATGTACATAAATATACTAAATAGATTATAATAGATTATGCTTTGCGACAAAATATATTCTGCGTCTAAAAGCGTATCGTGATAAAAAAGTTGTTGATATTTTTAACTATCTCAACGTCATTATAAACAGAAAGTTTTACTTCTTTTTTAATAAGCTGTATTTAGCAATTTCAAAAACGTAAATTTTTTCACTTAACTTTAAATTGCGTGTGCATAAAAACTTTAAGAATAATATGATGAAGCATGTACGAATATATTACGTTAATAATGAACTTATATTCAGTTATTCATCATCGATAATAATAAATAAAATAAGAAATTGGAAGGGCTACGAGCCAGAGATACAAAAACAAAGAAAATATATTATAAAATTATAAAAATGAAATTACAGCAAAACAAACGTTTCGACATCGATCGGGTCATTCTCAATGTTGACAAAAAATTATTCATAAATGTTAAATTATTACAAACGGAAACATTATATAACTTATCTATCACTTAATATAATATAAATGTATAATATAATATAAATATTTGTTAATTACTGAAATGCTTGCAACAATGTAGTCACATTCTTTTAATCTTTCTAAATAATCCAGAAACCCACGAAAAGTAATGGCATTTTGCGTGTGTTCTTGTAAAAGTTGTCCTATTTTTATTTGAAAGGTTTAATGAAAAAAAAGGTAAGGATCGGTTGGAACCATTACATAATCAAAATGTCGTTTACAAGATATCATGTGATGACTGTGATGTTAGTTACGTAGGCCAAATTAAGAGGCAGTTAAAGACTCGACTGCATGAGCATGTTTCCGACATTAATAAAATAACTAAATCTCTCCATCAGTTATCTCTAATCACCGTATAGAGAAGAGCCATAATTTTAAATGGGACAATGCAAAAATTTTGGACATAAAACCTTCCTATAACAAGAGATTAATTTTGGAAATGATATATATATTAAAAGACAAAAATATGGAATTAATAAACAAAATGATACGGATTCATTCTCTATATTCTAACATCATATAGTCTCTTTCCCCCTCTTAGTTGTTTATCCTTATTCCCCTTCCAGTCAGCACCTTCCTTTGTCTATTAGTCTCCTTTTATTATTGTGTTACGTTATACCGTCGGAGTTACATCATTCTTTGTTCAGACGCTATATAATTTTGACACATCTTTTCTTCTCATTGCAATTGCTCTGATATAAGATTTTATAAGCGACTGTTATTTTTTCTCCTTTTAATGAGATGTAAACTTTTCTCTTAAGAAGGTACTTATATAATATTTTGTTAATTTTATTCTACAATAGTATAATTGTTTGAACTGAAAGTGTTACGGTTACTGTTTGCGGTTTCTTTATAGATCTTTTTATGTTAATCTTTTACACTGCTGGAATGCTTCTATACGCGCGCGCATGCGTATAGAAAATTTTAGAAAAATACATACAATGAAAGAAAAGATTGACTGAATATGGCACAGTGCTTTTAATTAGTTGCAGTAACCAATTTTTGGTTGCGTTGGCTTATCGAAATTCTGTATTGACATTGCAGATAGGCTAACGCAACCAAAAATTGGCTTCTACAGTTAATTAAAAATGCTATGTCATATTTTACCATCTAATTTGCTGCAGCAATCTTTCCTTTCAGTGTAAAGGACTTTAATTCTTACGTGATTTTTCTTCGATATTATCTCAAGAATCATTATAAGATAATCATATCGGTATGCGTACTGCACGTTTATCATGAGTACTAAACGGGAGATGTTGAACTCCTCCTGTATTGATAGCATTATTGCAGTGTCAAGATAATGGGGTGTTTAGTATGTAAAGGGGAGCTTTCGCGATCTCTTCCGAATCCACGACGATTTGAATATACACGGCACAGTTAATGGTTTGCCGAAGTGATACGCGACTCTCTTGGTTATTTAGATTTCCGTCATGAGATAGAAACCGAACATATATTAGTAGATGGAATGATTGTATCTTCATTACATAGACAGCAACTAGATCCGCTCTTCGTTTGATACTCTTTGTTATGAAGAACTCTAAATAACGCGTGTTGTCGTTCGAAATGAAATAAAAATTGTGATCACGTTTCGTACTGTTGGGACACGATTATTTAAAATGCCGTTATCAGCGGACATCCGATTATTTTTTCAGTGACTGTTGGATGGGAAGATCTTTAAAGATCGATTAAACGTCACGTGTAAAAAAATATATAATAAAAAACTTGCAATTGAATTTCTGAAACCTCTGTTAAGTTACCATCCTTATCACTGAAAATCAGAATAAGGTATGTAGCAAAAGTAAGTGCTAATTTAATGCTAATTGAGTACTCTATTTCTGATTCTAGTGCTCAAATTATTTAGCAGGAATCTGCGTTTCAAGGTGAGAATGCTGGATTCAATATAACACATAATTCGAATAAAATTAAAAAAAATAAATATCACAAAATATGAAGCTCTTTAAGTACTTTTAAGTGTCTCGATTTTAATACTAAAATCGCTGTTGTGTCATTTTTTATCCATCTGGTAGTTTTTCTTTTCCATTTAATTTGGATTTGCACGTGGAGTTTTAGATTTTTGTGACTTTTCGTAAATAGTCATAATTAATTACAAGTAATTTTACTTTTATGATGACAACTCTCCCTCGTAAAAAGCCAAATTTATCTTGAACCGCAATTGGATTAATTTAGACCCGCAGTTCTAGTGTTAAAAGATACTTTACATTTGTTTGTTTTAACGCTCGATAACTTAGAGGTGCTTTTTCAACGATAACTGAGAACCAAAATTAGATGTTGTATATCTTATAGGAGCCCAAAATTAGGAAATAATTTAACACTGGAACCAATTCTCTGTGTTAATTTTGAAAGATACTTTATTGTTATTCGTATATTATTATGATTGCTTCTTTGACTTGTATTTTCTAAGTTTATAAATATAAAAATTGACAAAGAAGCTCACGATTTCGATATTAAACAATTTCTTGATTTTGATAGTCCTAAGATATATAATCTCTGTTCACTTTTTATCATCAAAAATTCTTAAATTATCAAGCCTTTTTAAACAAACAATAGTAAAATATCTTTTAAAATTGAAATACATATAAGCACAAAGAGCATTTAATCTTTTTTTTTCTTTGTTTAAATATTATACTTTTTTATTTGTCGTATTTTGATCCAAAAATTAGAAATTAAAGTACTACATTAACACATAATTAACACTTAATTTTGATATATACCTTGTTCCATTTTCAGTGGTAGCAACTTGACAAAGGTTTCTGAAATATAGATTTGATAGACATTCTGACGTTAGCACGATTAAAAGAAAATCAACTCCATGCCACTGAAGAAGAATGTGAAATTATTAGAATATATAACACCAAGGAACATGAATACATTCTTGAAATTTTGAATTCTTTGTTTTAACGCGCAGTGTAATTTGGCAAAATTTATTACGTACGAAATTCAGGAATGCTCGTTGAGCATTCCCGGGATCACGGTCATTCGCCAATTAAATTCTAGCTACCTTCCAACGTCAACGTTGGATAATTCAGACAGGAAGGAAGCCGCTCAAACAGTGCAATGCGGTGGACAAGTACAAGCATGAAATTTGTAACGCGGTCGGATTGTCGACTCGAGAGTCTGCATAGAGCGTGGAATACTCTGTTCTGCAATTCGGTCTTCCAACAATGGAGATCAGCCCATACCAACAAAGCCTGTGGCCAACGTTTCGTTCCCAGCTATGTACACTTCACGCGTACACGTATGAGCGCGAAAAAAAATGATAACTGTTGCCAAATGCATGACTGCACGGTGATGCCGTAACATCGACGAGACAAGAAAAAGTCGATGAATAGACGATGCTGTGTAACGACTGTCGGTATTCTTCCTCTTCATAAAATGCAGAGTCATTTCATTACGATTGAATTATTTCATACAGCATATACCGGTGATTTAAAACATTTATGTAAATATTTTCAAATGTTAAATTTATAAATGATAAATATCGGTGATAAACATTTACATTAATATAGATATATTTTCAAATGATAAATTTATTAGATTAATAAAATATGTATGATATATAAGCTATTTCCAATAAATATTGAGATATCTGAAGACAACTGTTTTTTCCTTTGCACACACATTTTTATGTCGGCTGAAAATATAATAACCTAGTATCTACAGAAGCTTTTTTTCTCGTAATGACCCGAGTTAGCAAACCATTAACTTTAATATCAAAACGTGATAAATTACCGTGAAGTAAACGAAATTCTAGCTTCCTCGAGCTCTCTAAACGCAAATATCTAATATTATAAGGTGAAAGGTTACGGAGATTAGTGCTGAGGAGATTAATTTTTCCTTCCAGGAAATTAAATACAAAATCTTTTAG